GGCATTAGCTTTGGCAGAGGGTTGTTGCGAGTAGGTTTAGGGAGAGCAGAGGATGGTGGTGCTCTCTTGAGGTGCGTGGTCCGAGGGGTGTGGGGGTCTGGAAGTGCATTCGGAAGGGTTTGTTTGATTTCTCCTTGAATGTTCAATTTAGATTCAGGGATGGCAGGATGATCAGTTTCTGGGAGGATGTTTGGTGTGGGGATGTTTCTCTTGCTCTCGCTTTTCCACGACTTTTTAGGATTGCTTCGAATAGGTAGGCCATGGTAGTTGACTATTGTCATCTTGATAGCGGGAGACTGGTGTGGGATGTTCGGTTCAGGCGTCTTTTTCAGGATTGGGAGGTTGAGGATGCCATTCGTCTGTTGGAGTTGTTGTATCGGCAGGGAGTCACGGTTGGTGAGTTTGATGGTTGGATTTGGGCTCCCAGTGCGCAGGGTCGTTTTGATGTGTGGTCCTTTTTTAGGTGTCTTTCTGTGGAGCTTGGAGGGCCCTTCTCGTGGAAGTTTGTTTAGCGTTCTAAGGCTCCTCTCAAAGTGGCCTTCTTTACTTGGACTTTTGTGTTGGGCAAAATTTTAACCCAGGATAATTTGAGAAGGAGAAATCAGGTAGTGGTCAATCGGTGCTACATGTGTCTTAGGGACGAGGAGACTGGACCATCTTCTTTTGCATTGCTCCGTGGCCAAGGATTGTTGGGATTTGATGCTTGGCTTGTTTGGGTTCTAGTGGGTCATGCCTCATTCCGCCAGAGAGCTGGTTGAGGCTTGGAGAGGGTTTTTTGTGGGGGGCCAAGTTCGTGATGCTTGGAGGGCTACTCCTCTCTGTGTGTGGTGGTGTATTTGGCTTGAGAGGAATATGAGATATTTTGAGGGGAAGGAGAGGCCTATTTCTTGTCTTAAGTTCTCTTTTGTTTCCACTGTTCGAGATTGTAGATCTTTAGATGAAATTGTTGTTTTTTTTTGGCCTCTTTGAAAGTGAAATGGCTGTTTTGGCCTGTTTTTGTTTCCTTGGGATGCGCTCCCCTTTTGAGCGCTTTTTATAAAATTCTTACTTATCAAAAAAAAAAAAAAAAAAAAAAAAAAATGAACTTCTGGGAAAAAAAAATACCATAATTATTTTACCGGAAGAGGCAATTCAGATGGTATGGATTTTGAACCCTGACATGTTGTCAGCATGATGTTAGCGTCAGTACTAATGCTAATGTCAACAAACTTCTAGCCCTTTTCTAACTCGAATGCTGTGGTGGCCTTTTTAGGCTCTGATACCAAGTTGAAATTATATTTTAGGGTTTAGATGATTAGGATTTGAGGAGAAAAGAAGAAGAAAAAAAGAAGAGAGAATGTGATAAAGGGTTGTAGTATATCTCTGACATCTCTGCACCCATCTATTTATATTAGTCAAAAATACGATTTACAATAAATCCCACTAATTACTCCACTAATTACGCCCACTAATTATGCTCACTAATTCTTCCCACTAGTTATGCTCACTAATTCTTCCCACTAATTATGCTCATTACAAGAATATTTCCACATATTCCAACAGTTTCATTTATAACACGTTTTGATTAATGAAAATCCTTTTTGAACTGCATAAGCTTGTTTTTAGTACTGAATTAAGTTAAAATTCTTATGGAAGAAGGACAAGGTACTCCAATTGATCAAAGAATCAATCAAATGCTCCTGGCTAAGTGTCGATTGGCTTGATCGATCAAACAATGCAAAATCCAGTTTCCATATTAAACTGAATCAGTTTTAATCCTAGTCTCTACAGGGTTCTAAACTCTATATATGGACATCACAGAAAACAATATAGAAACAAGTAAGAACATACACAGAGCAGATGAGTGCATTCTAGCTACCAATTCTTGCTAGAGCCTGTATATATATATATATATATATATATATATTTATTTTTTTTTTCCCTCTCATATTCATCATTGTATCTAGTATGGTGAGTATGCTGTTAAGATTTTAATCATCAATCATGCTATGCTTGTGGAAAATTCAAAAGCAAAGATGTCATGCCCCTAAAGACCTAGTCTCTTGGGACCCTCAGATGGAGATGGTAACACTAAGTGCAAGTTCAAGTTCGAAAGACTTCTGCACCTATTGCTTCTCTACTTTAAAAGCTTATGCTGTTGGAGAAGGTATAACTTTAATGTTGAAATTCTCTAATACGCTTCCTCACGTGTGGCCTTCTTTTGATTCAACACATGTTTCAATTTTAATTATCAGGGTGATGGTGAGGTTTGAACATAGGACTTTACCTGTTTTGATGCCATATTGACAACCATCTACTCTAAAAGTTTAATATATTAGATTAATGTTGAAGGATTTAAATATTTAACTTATAGCCTCTCTAACAGTTTAAGCTTTTAAAGTAGATGGTAGTTAACATGGTATCAGAGCCAAAGATCTCTAGTTCAAACCTCATCATCACCTTGATAATTTAAAATTGAAACGCGCGTTGGACCAAAAAAAGGCCACACGTGAGGGGACGTGTTGAAGGATTTAAATATTTAAGTTACACACTCTCTAACAGTTTAAGATTTTAGAGTAGATGGTAGTTAACAATTAATATTTTAAATCTTCTAAAATCAGTTGCCCTAATTATTCCTTATATATATATATATCTCATATAATCTTTTGGAATTTTAAAAACTTGTAGAGGACTGTTCGAATTGTATAAAATATAGTTTTTAAAACTTCGTAACCGTTAATTGTCATATGGTAGGATGTGATGATAACCAATGGCTAAAAACCCCTGTTGAATAGGTACATTTTAATTACAATTGTGTGAAGTAACCTATAAATATCTGGATAGTTCAACAGATTAAATATATGTTCAAGTTACTCCTTTGTATCTTGTCGTTTCTTTCCTCCAATCCAAATACTATTTTGTATGCTATTAATTATATATTTGAGTTTTGGGGCAACCGCCAATGTGACATGGAGGAGTTGGTGATTGTTCATCTGCGAACATGCTCATGGAGGACTTGAGAGTTTATCTTGGAGCCTTTCATAGTCTGTCATCATCGGCATGTAGGGAGGCCAAAAAGGCTTTAGGACAGTGCAGAACTGCGTGCCTCTCCATTGTACATGCCAGAAGTTTCTTTACTCTCAAAATTTAATATCGATTTATAATTTGGGTGTCATGCATGGCCTATCATTTTTATAATGTTTTCTTTATATAATCTACATATACTGGTATTGTTTCAAGTTCATTATTCTTGCTTTATATTCTGTTGATCACTACTTGAATAGAATTAATATGAAATATACTGCAAATTCCTCAACACTTTGTTTGCAGAAAGAAAGGCCAGTAATGCGAGTCAGCCCTTTCCAAACGCACAGCACATAATCAGGGAATCTCAATGACTTGTTCATCGGATGACAGCAGAACACGAACTATCATGAGTAGACGTACTTGCTAAATTGGTTTTGATACTAACGTAAAACATAATAGCTGTGTGACTAATAACCACATAACTTTAGTTCATGGAATTCAGTATAATCAGCTACTCCTATTCATTAACAGTATGCACACAACAGCAAGATCAGCACAGAAGACTGGTACATGCATATAAATATATAATATGAGCATACTTTTAACACATAATTGAGGGAGGATGGTCTGATCTCCTACTTTCAAAGGATGGGAGTTTTTACACTGCTATGACTTTATCAGTATTGTCGGCATCGCAGCAAAGAAGAAGAAGAAGAAGAAGAAGAAGACAAAAAGGAAGACAAGAATCACGCATTTAACACGTCTCTCTCTCTCTCTCTCTCTATATATATATATATATATATATTTTTTTTTTTTTTTTTTTTGCCACTTGGTATTGTTCGATTGGTCAAGGGGTACTTATGATTGATTGAGCACCACTAACCTCCATTGATCTAAGTCCACTTAGATCATGTCATGTCTGATGTGTGTGACATACCATTGCCCCAATTGACCCAGTGCTTCAATCAGAGTCCTGATTTTGTGAAGTGAAAGTTGTACCCTGCTTTTGGTTCTATCTACTATCTTAGTGTTTTTAAAGTCTAATTGGCCCTATCAACCTACTTTAGGTTGTTTTAATGAGTCCTGATTTCTGTGTTGTTACCCAACTCAGTTTTCATTCCTTAGCAATCCTTATTGATGCATAGCACTACCTGCAAACCATGTGCATCAGGTAAGCTGAGAGATAGGTCTGTTTTCTGAGCTATAGCCTTGACTAACTCAGCTCCCTCTGCGAGTTCTTGCATAATTAATGTCTTTATGGAGAAGTGTTTTAATGTTTATTACGAGTCTGTGGTCCAGACTTCTCTTTATTTATCCTTTCTCAGTCAAGCTTATGGTCTTGTTCTATACAGTGATTTAAGGAAAGTGATTTTTATTCTTCTTGGGAGAGTTATTTTCGGGAACTTATCCTTTTCTTTTTGGTTTTATACTATTTTAGTTAAATAACTTCTGTTTTGTGGGGCCTTCATTAAATTAGTGTCTAAATTGGTTGAACCTAAAATCTGCTAACTAAATTCCTCCTGAAAGCTGTTATCTAGAAATTTTTTAGTCTGCTGTATGCTACTTTTGAAAGAGAGACCATCATTAAAACTAGGCAAACCATACATCAATTTAGAGGCGGTTAAATAACTCCCATCAGCTTCAAGCGAAAACACAAGTGAGGACTTTTCATCCAACTGGTAAACCGTTGTGTCTCCCTAAAATTAATGGCTCCAACATCTTTATACACTATCTATGATGCAGGCACAAGGTTAATGTGTCTCTGCAACAGATAATACCTCTGCAGAGCTGTTGTAACAATGAATTCTTAAAGCCTATTGAACTCCTCAGATATAAAGTTTATAATCTGTTGAACTTTCTTGGAAGCAAAGTTCTAAACTTACCTTTTGCATGTCCACAAGATTTTGTGTTTATCTTAGCAGCAAGATATATATATCTATATATATATATATATATCTTATTTGATAATTTACTTTTCATGATATTGTCTATAGGGGATAGCTGACACCATGGCATATTTACAAAAAGAATGTCGCTTGCTCCGTGGGGAGCATAATCTTCTTGGTGAAGCAGTTCTTGTTATGGCTTCTGCGGCTGGGTAATTACTGGCTTAAGTGGAATTTATTGTCCCTGTTTGATGTTTCATTTCTTGGTTTATTATTGAAGTGTCTAAACTTGGTGCAGGATTCAACAGCAGCAAGAAGCTTTGATGTGGTTACTTGAACCATTGAGCAAGCAGTGGATGCAGATGGAGTGGCAAAATACTTATTTGTCTCATCCGACAGGCTTGGTTCGCTTGTGCTCTGAAACACAGTTTATGTGGTCACTTTTCCATACTGTTACATTCTTTGAGAAAGCGCTTAAAAGGAGTGGTTTCAGAAAAGGCAATAGAAATTTTCAAAACAATTCAACAGAAAGTTCTACCAACTTGCATCCGATGGCTTCTCATCTGCCATGGATGCTGCCTCCTCTCCTGAAAGTATGTACGTTGCTTTGAGAAAAGGGCAATCTTGAATATCTTTGCATATTCCAGTAGAAAGTAGATTATAATCTTCAAAATTACTATTTATTTAGGATTTGTTTTACTTCGCCACTTTTACAACACATTAATAGTTGTGACATATCCTTGATCTGCAGCTGCTTCGAGGTATACATTCTCTTTGGTCTCCACCTGTAACGCAAGCATTACCTGGAGAAATAAAAGCTGCAATGACCATGAGTGATATTGAAAGAAGTAGTCTTCTCGGGGAAGCAAACCCTAAATTTCCGAAGGGTGCGCTAAGTTTTACTGATGGATCTCATATTGACATGAATAAAGAAGTTTATTCGGAGCCGAATGAAACTGATATAAGAAATTGGTTGAAGGGTGTCAGAGATAGTGGGTATGTGTTGGTACTTTTTGAAGCAGTATAGAATTTAAGAGCTTGAAATTTGTTGTTTCAACTGTATTTTGATTATCATGGAACTTTTCCTCATCCAATTGACAAATGTTGCATCAATTATGCCTGGACATTTCTGGAAGAGTTCTATAGTGTAGAGGTCTTTTGATTATATCATATAGTATATTTATACGTCAGAAATACGAGTTTTTCTTCCTATATTGGGTTTGGAAATATTCAGCTATTTATTGCATAGAAAACTGTACTTTGTTTTATTCAGTAAATTGGTTTTCCTTTTCTTACTGGATAAATTTGATGCCACGCATTCCTCGCTTTTGTTTTTTCTTTCATTTCCCTATTCCTTTTCAGCGGTTTACATAACTTTCTCCACAAATTTCTTTCCCACCCAGCTTAATCATAATTATTTTTCAACAAAATAGTTCTTGTGCAAATGACAAAAAAGATTAATTCTAAGGTTGAACAATCGGTCGGTGAGGGAATATTCTCAAAGGTTGTATTTGTTCTATATATAATTCTGGTTAATATGGATACAATTGAGCTCGTTTCTAATGATTTTCCCTATTTATAGGTATAATGTATTGGGCTTATCAACAACAATTGGAGATTCGTTTTTCAAATGTTTGGATATTCAATATTTTTCTCTAGCACTAATGGAGAACATACAGTCAATGGAGTTCAGGCATATAAGGCAGCTTGTACATTCAATCTTGATTCCCTTAGTTAAATGCTGCCCTTCAGATCTTTGGGAGGAGTGGCTGGAAAAGCTTCTTCATCCATTATTTCTCCACTCACAGCAGATTCTTAGCAGTTCATGGTCCAGTCTTTTACAGGAAGGTAGAGCAGATGTGCCAGATCTACATGGCGTACTTGCTGGATCAGACTTAAAAGTGGAAGTAATGGAGGAAAAGCTACTTCGAGATTTAACTCGTGAGATTTGTTCACTCCTCTCTGTTTTAGCTACATCAGTACTAAATGCCGGGCTTCCTTCTTTAGATCAATCTGGGCATGTTAGCCGAATGGACATGTCATCTTTCAAGGACCTGGATGCATTTGCCTCAAGATCTATGGTTGGGTAAAGCCTGAAGCACATCCCTTCCTGGAATTGCTTTTATGGTGAATTATTAGAGTGGTTTATGCGCTTGTAATTTTTCTCTGTTTTTTAACTTGTAATTGTCTCCAAATTGTATTCAATTGCAGTTTCATTTTGAAGCACAAAGGTCTTGCACTTCCAGCATTGCAGATAACTTTAGATGCTTTTAAATGGACTGATGGCGAATCTGTGTCTAAAGTTTCTTCCTTTTGTGGAGCTGTGGTTCTTCTGGCTATTTCAACAAATAATGTGGAACTCCGAGAATTTGTTTCTAAAGATTTATTCTATGCAATAATCCAAGGATTGGCACTAGAGTCAAATGCTATCATCAGCGCTGATCTGGTTAGTCTTTGTCGTGAAATCTTCGTTTATCTTTCTGACAGAGACCCAGCACCCAGGCAGGTTAGTGAAATTCCTCATGCAGCTCAAATATTTTGTATTTTTACTTATGGTTAGGCTACTCTATGATTATCCAAATGTGGTGAAGTTTTTGCTGGTTGGATGTGTGTCCTTACTTTCTTGTGTGGTCACAGATTTTGCTCTCTCTTCCTTGCATTACACCCCAAGATCTGCTTGCTTTTGAAGAAGCTTTGACAAAGACGGCTAGTCCTAAGGAACAAAAGCAGCATATGAAGAGCTTGTTATTGTTAGCTACAGGAAACAAGTTAAAAGCTCTTGCTGCTCAAAAAAATGTGAATGTAATTACAAATGTTCAAAGTAAGTACATTCTGACATGATCTCTAATTTAAAAATTCTCTCTTTTAACTTTTCCTTTCTGTGGTGGTAGGTGGCGGGTAGTGTTGCAATTTGGGTTCTGGAGTAGTCCTTAAGCTCCTTTAATTATGTTTTAAAACCTATCTTAAAATCACGGCTTGCTAATCTGTTGGCGAAACATATATGAGGTCTTAAGGATCATAATGTAGATCAGGAATTATTGCCATCTGTTACAATTGATATATGGATTATTATTGGCTTGATCGACCCATAGTTTCCCCTTGCATAGTATTTCAATTGCATAATGGTACTTAGAACCAAGGTTTACCATGGGATCAGGTGGTAAATGGGTTGAGTGGAACTGGGGCGTGTCTCCACTTTGAATCTTTCCTAGCAATCAAAAAAACAAAAATAAAAAAAAATAAAAAAATAAATAAAAATAAAAGAAAAAGAAAAGAAAAGAAACATAAACAGAATTACAAAAAGCATATCTAGAGCAGATTTGCTCTATTTATTGGATCATTTGGATTCCATTTTTAGTCTCTCAGTAATTTTGGAATCTAATCATTTAAATTTAACACAAGTGTCTCAGCAACTTGGAATATCGTTTTAATGTACTATACAACCACATATATTTTTTTCTCATGCATTGAGACTACTATGTCAATGTCTTTATTTTGGTGAACTACCCACCTTGGTGTGTGGGGAACTGGATTGGGAAGATTTGATGTGAGTAATTTATTAGGTTTTGTTTAATTAGAGTGAGAAATATAGAACTATAATTTGAGTGAAAAAAAAAAAAAAAAAAAAAAAGAGAAGAAAAAATTAGGGCTGTAAAGACTCGGAATAATTTCCTCTTCCCCTTTTTATTATCTTTTTAGTAGTGATTGCTTCCATTTTTCCAAGTGCGAAATTCCAAAGAAGGGAGCAGGTTTGAACTCCTTTGTATCGAACTCAGCATCCAAAAAATTCTAGAATGGCTTTTGTCATTAATCATAATGCTTCAATTTGGGGTTTATAAGTTGAGTTCTTATGATGCTAATCTTTAGCCCTGAACTTTTCAGTGAGGCCTCGCAGTATGGTTTCCTTTCAAGAATCCAGAATCGATGAAGGGGATGCTATCGGATTGGCAGCAATTATGTAAGGTATTCTCAAGAGCGTGACAAATTTCTTGTACAGAGATGAGTTTCTCAGAAGGAGGGTTGCATCTCTTTAGAGAGAGACAACAATAGAAAAGCAGCGTTTTTAGAAATCTATATATAGAGGTTTACAACACAGGCTATCTCAGTTTGACAGGATGTATGATTCCATATAATCTAAATGTCATCTGCTCTTACCATCATGAAATGTGGCTTATTACTAATGAAATGAATATGCATAATTTTTCTCTTATTATCTTTTCTTTTCTCTTACTTTTTCTAATTAAATATACTGCTTTTTCTGTGTGTTTTTCTGGCAGTTTCTCTTGTTCTAAAAGCATCTGAGAATATCTTCTATGCTCATAATGTTTTACATTTCATTTGGTTTGAAATTTTTTGCTTTTGTTGACTTTTTAAAATCGAAATAATAGTTAAAACACTGTAATAGAATGAGGAAATGAATTTGAAAAAGGAAATGGTATAAACTCATTAAATTTCCTATATAATATGCGATAAGAGTTTGTTGGCTTGTTTTAGTTGTGGCATTGTGAAAAAGAATTATCCATTTTCAAATAAATAATAATAATGCGACAAGTAATGCAGGCACCCTACGATCGATCGATCGCATGACACGCTACGATCCTACGATCGAGGTGTAGGCTGTGACATAAATTTTGATTTTGGATTTGGACGATCGATTGTAGCGCCCACGTTTGATCTGGACGGTCGAACTGCTGTTGTTTCGTGGACTTGACATAGGGTACCCTTTTAACTCGTTTGACTTCCATTGCACCCTAATGATGATGCAGACTTTATTTTGACATAGTATGATGTTTTACATGGATTATTAACCATTTTACCCTTAGCTTTTGTATTTGTTATATGGTTATCGGGTCGGGTTTGAATCTTCTTATTTAATGCAGTGAATCTACGCATAAAAAAAGAGGCGTTTGCTACGCTATTGAAGAAGTTTTGCTGGTCAAACCATTGCTTAAGTTGGACTAGTCAGGCAACTCATCCATGTTTTTATTTATCCTTTGGTAACGAGGAGCCCTTCCGACACATCCATGTTGGGTCCTAGTTTTTATTTTCTTTCTTTTCTTCCATCAATGTTTTGTTTATGAATTTACCCAATGATCCAGTTTTTTGTTGTGTTTTTGTGTTTATTATTTTTGTTACATATCCTTTTATTTTTATTTTTATCTCAAGTTTTATTTTTATTTTTATCTCATGTTTATTATTTTTGTTACAATTCATCCTAATCACACTCATTCACAGTTTATTATTTTGACCTCTTCTAAAATCGTTCGCTTGAAGTTTGGACAAATTATACACGTGTAAGTCGTTCACCGTTTATTACCTTGACCTCATCGAAATCAGTTCGTAGGGTGCCAAAAAATGACTGAATGTGAAAAGTCAGTAATATCTTTATATTATAATAATATTATATATTGCATTTTATACCTGGGAATGACAAAATCGTTATTTTATAAAATTTGGTCAATAGGTCTAGAGGAAAGAAAATATAGAATGTTATTAAGCACACAAGTCGAATCTCAAGAGAGGTTAAAGTAATAAACGTTGGATAGTCTATTTATGTGTAATTTATCGAAGTTTTAGTGGACGTCATTTTATAATTTGCGAGTTTTGTATTGTCCCTTTTTTTTTTTTTTTTATACCCGGGTGGTGATTCCAAGTTAAACAATCCACGTGTGTAGTGTTGATGCGTCTGGTTGTGCTTTCTAGATGCCATATGGCTCTTTCTTATTGCCAGGTTAAAAATAAAAAAATAAAAAAAGTTAAACAATCATCGTGACATTGTATAAGAGTAATTTATTTTGTTCAATTTGAAGTACTAAATTGAGTTATTAAAAGTGAAATTGTGCGTCCTTAACTAAGTGGCCTATGGAGTATGGTCCAAGAATGAAAATGTGCCCTATATTAGTAAGGCTTTTTGCTAGGGAATAGCGAACCGCCTTTTCTAAAAGCCCACTTGTTCTCTCACTAGACAGAAGACAGCTTTGGGAAAGTATCAATCAGCACTCAGTTGTTTTCACTGGTTCTCCATGGCTTGTCCTTGGGGACTTTAATGTTATCTCTAATTTTCATGAGAAATTTGGAGGCTCTTTGAGATGGACAAGGGCTATAACAGATTTCAATGAATGCATTCAATACTCACAGCTAGATGATTTGAGGTTCACAGGCATCCACTACTCATGGAACAATTAAAGCATGGGGCATGCTAATATTGCAAAGAAGCTTGATATGGCCTTGTGCACTGAGAAGTCGACAATCTTCTTCCCAATGCCAGATTGCACCTTCTTACCCCCAAGCCTTTCAGATCATAGCCCCATGCTCATCAAAATGGGCAATTCTACTCCTAAAAGGATCCCATTTACGTACTTTAACTCATGGGCATATAGCCTTCTTTTCTTACCTGCTGTTGAGCAGGTCTGGCATACCAATATCAGAGGAGCTCTTATGTTTCAAGTTGTGCAAAAACTAGAGGTTCTGAAACCTGTCCTAAAGCAAAAATGTAGGGTTGAAATCTCTCAGGCTTCTGAAATGGTCAAGCAAGCTAAGCAAAGTCTATCTACATGTCAGCAACTCCTTGATAACAACCTCATGGACTTTGAGCTAAAGAAGCAGGAGAAATCTCTTATGCAGCAGTACTCAAGGCTTGCTCATAAGGCAGAAATCCAGAGTCAATTGGCTGTGTGATGGGGACATCAACACTACATACTTCTTTAAAGCATTCAACTCAAAAGCTAACAGAAAGAAGATCACTACACTCACATCAGCTACTGGTGCTACCATTGATGATGACACATTGGTAAGAGAAGAAGTGGTCTCTGATTTCAAGCTCCTCTTAGGGAGTTCCCCTCCATCTTACCCTGGAAGAACAACATTGCAAAACTTCATCTCAAATGAGGTTCCTACCAACTTCCTAGCAATGTTGGAAGCCATCCCCTCTGATGCTGAAATCCGTACATGCTTCCATTCCCTCAAAAAGGAAAAATCTCTAAGACCAGATGGATATAATGCATATATTTTTAGTATGCCATGGCCTATAGTGGGTACAGATGTTATCTCTGCCATCAGATCCTTCTTCACCAATAGAAACATTCTCAGGGAGATTAAGAACTCCTACATTGTTCTAGTACCTAAGGTCTCTAACCCTACTACCACGAATGACTATAGACCTATCTCATGCTACAACACAACATACAAATGTATTGGTAAACTCTTAGCAAGCAAGCTCAAATTGGACATACCCTCCCTTATCAACCCAATGCCAGAATGCATTTATCAGTGGGAGGCACATTGGGGATAGTGTAATGCTTGCACAAGAGCTGTTACAAGGCTACCATAGGCACCTCAAGCCACCTAGGTGTGCTATTAAGGTCGACCTAATGAAGGCTTTTGATTCAGTGGGTTGGGAGTTTATGCTTGACACCCTCTCCCTTTTTGGGTTCCCATAACTTTTTATTGGTTGGATCAGAGCATGCATTACAACCCTATCATTTACAGTGTCTATAAATGGGGAGTTCAATGGCCATTTTCAGGAAGTCAAAGGGTTAAGGCAAGGGGACCCCATCTCCCCTTTGCTATTTGTGTTAGCAATGGAAGTGTTTACCTCTATTATCACCAAGCTTATAGTTGAGAACCCTCTCTTCAAATACCACTCTAGGTGTAAGAACTTAGCCATCTCTCACCTAATCTTTGCTGATGACCTCTTACTTTTTTGCCATGGGGATCTACTATTAATCTCCACACTCAAGTAGGCTCTTGTCCAATTCTCCACTCTATCCGGGTTAAATGTCAATAACTCAAAAAGCCTCTTCTTTACATCAGGAGTGGACAGCACAATGGTTAATGATATTCAAGCATTACTGGGTTTTAACTATGGGGACCTGCCTATCAAGTATCTTGGTGTGTCGCTGCTTTCAACAAGGCTTAAGGTCTGAGATTGTAGAGGACTAATTGAAAGGATTACCCGCATAGTTACTCACTAGTCCTCCAACTTCCTTTCCTATACTGGAAGAATCCAACTCATTCAGTCGGTTTTTTACAGCATGCTCAACTACTGGTCCAGTTTATTCATCCTACCGATGACTGTTATCAATGAGGTCAACAGGGTTTTGAGGAATTTCCTGTGGACAGGAATAGATGACAAGAGTTCAGGGGCTAAGGTTGCATGGTTTGTTGTGTGTCAGTCTAAGGAATGTGGAGGGCAGGGCTTCAGGAGCTTGAGTACTGCTAATATGGCTGCTAATTTGGAACACCTATGGACCATTATATCTAATAAGAGAGATAACATCTAGGCGCAATGGGTTAGAGTCCAATTGATAAGAGATAGATGCATTTGGTCTATTTGCATCCCACAAGCGAGTCCAATTGATAAGAGATAGATGCATTTGGTCTATTTGCATCCCACAAGCGTGCTCTACGAATTGGAAAAGGATCCTGCAGCTAAGAGGTGTGGCTAAGACAATAAGTAGGCACTGTGTGGGAAGAGGCGATTAGACCTTTTTTTTCGAAAGACAACTGGTTACAAGGAGGCCCCCTCACCTTACGTTTATCCCCAGAATCGATTCATAACTCTGGTATTCCTTTTGATCAAAGACTATCTTCATTCGTTCAGAACAATGAATGGTCCTTCCCAAATGAGTTAACGACACTCATCCCAGAGCTCAACTTTATTGCTGGCCCAAACGATTCCCCGGAATCCCTATAGTTGGATCCCTTCCCCAATTGGGTCTTACTTGGTTAGCCACACAATTCACTGGCTTGCTCCGCATCAGCAACCACAACCATGGCAACATCTTGTGTGGAACTCACTGTCGGTACCATGATGCAAGTTTACGCTTTGGTTAGCCAAATAGAAGCGTCTCTCTACCCTTGATCGCAGTTGTATGCAATCTGCACCAGGCCCAATTTTTTATTTTATTTTATTTTATTTATTTTTTGCCAATCAGTGGATGAATCACACGACCACCTCTTCTTGGAATGTTCCTTCACTCGGCCGATCTAGATTGCACTCCAACAGAAGGGCCGATTCCATTTTCCCCCTTATTCATGGCGTGATTTAATTGAGTGAGCCTCTAATTGTTGGTGAGGAAGGAATGTCTCCATCTCCGTCGGCAAACTCATGTTTTCTACCACCGTGAACCGAATCTGGATGGAACGCAACAATAGGAAGTATAAAAATCAGAAATGCTTTCAGATGGTGCTGCAGAAACAAATCACTGA